CTACTGCCTCACGAACTTCCCCCACACTCACAACTGGCTCTTCCTCACTCCTACAAGATGTTATTCCTCCTTGCCCTATACACGAAATCACAGCTTCCCTATCTTCATCAACATTTAACAATTCCTCAAAATATTCTTCCATCTTCCAATACCTCTACCTCTCCATTTAATAACTCTCCTCTCCTATTTTTAACTGACAAATCCATTTGTTCTCTAGGTTTCTTAACTTGTTAATCTCACTCCAAAACTTTTTCTTATTTTCAACAAAATTTTGTTAACATCTCACCCACTCTCTCATTTGCTCTCTTTTTACATTGCTTCACCACTCTCTTAACTTCTCTCTTTTTCTCATATACTCTTCCCTCCTTGCATCACTTCTACTTTGTAAAAACTTCTCATATGCTAACTTTTTCTCCTTACTACTCTCTTACATCATCATTCCACCATCGCTCTCTTCCCTCCTGCACCCACTTTCCTGTAACCACAAACTTCTGCTGAACACTCTAACACTCATTTTTAAACCCCTAACCCCATACCTCTTCGACCCCATTTGCTATGCTTCTCATTAGCCATTATCCTCCAATAGCTGTTTATATCTTACCCTAACTGCCTCCTCTTTTAGTTTATAACCTTCACTCTCTCTTCCCTGATGCTTCTATTCTCCTTGTATCCCATCTACCTTTTACTCTCAGTGTAGCTACAACTAGAAAGTGATCTGATATATCTGTGGCCCCTCTATAAACATGTACATCCTGAAGTCTATCAACAGTCTTTTATCTACCAATACCATATCCAACAAACTACTGTCATTTCGCCCTACATCATATCGTGTTATACTTATTTATCCTCTTTTTCTTAAAATATGTATTACCTATAACATAAACCCCTTTCTATACAAAGTTTCAATCAAAGGGCTCCCATTATCATTTACACCTGGCACCCCAAACTTACCTACCACACCCTCTCTAAAAGTTTCTCCTACTTTAGCATTCAAGTCCCCTACCACAATTACTCTCTCACTTGGTTCAAAGGCTCCTATACATTCACTTAACATCTCCCAAAATCTCTCTCTCTCCTCTGCATTCCTCTCTTTCTCCAGGTGCATACACGCTTATATGACCCACTTCTCGCATCCAACCTTTACTTTAATCCACATAATTCTTGAATTTACACATTCATATTCTCTTTTCTCCTTCCATAACTGATCATTTAACATTACTGCTACCCCTTCCTTTGCTCTAACTCTCTCAGATACTCCAGATTTAATCCCATTTATTTCCCCCACTGAAACTCTCCTACCCCCTTCAGCTTTGTTTCGCTTAGGGCCAGGACATCCAACTTCTTTTCATTCATAACATCAGCAATCATCTGTTTCTTGTCATCCGCACTACATCCACGCACATTTAAGCAACCCAGTTTTATAAAGTTTTTCTTCTTCTCTTTTTTAGTAATTGTATACAGGAGAAGGGGTTACTAGCCCATTGCTCCCGGCATTTTAGTCGCCTCATACGACACGCATGGCTTACGGAGGAAAGATTCTTTTCCACTTCCCCATGGACAATAGAAGAAATAAAAAAGAACAAGAGCTATTTAGAAAAAGGAGAAAAACCTAGATGTATGTATATATATATGCATGTGCGTGTCTGTGAAGTGTGACCAAAGTGTAAGTAGGAGTAGCAAGATATCCCTGTTATCTTAGCGTGTTTATGAGACAGAAAAAGAAACCAGCAATCCTACCATCATGCAAAACAGTTACAGGTTTTTGTTTCACAGTCATCTGGCAGGACGGTAGTACTTCCCTGGGTGGTTGCTGTCTACCAACCTACTGCATGTAAATCTATATTTAAGCTAGGGAAGTGTGTAGGGAAGTGACCCCTGAAGTGACCTAGAGTCCTTATGGAGGGGGATTCCCCTTCCAAACAATAACCTCTCTTCCCTCTCCTCCTCCTCCCTGTCTTCCATTCATCAACAACAGCCTTCAATAAAGGTGACTGTCATGTTGAATGTTCATTCTTTTGTGCATGTAAATCTATCTTTAACCCTTTCAGGGCTTCGGCCATACTAGTACAGCTTACACACCAGGGTCCTTGACGTACTAGTACTCATAAATTCTAGCGCCTTCAAATCTAGTGAGAGAAAGCTGGTAGGCCTACATATGAAAGAATGGGTCTATGTGGTCAGTGTGTGCAGTATAAAAAAATCCTGCAGCACACAGTGCATAATGAGAAAAAAAAGAAACTTTGACCGTGTTTTTGGATTAAAGCAGCGACTTTGCACTGTATTTTCGTATGGTATTTATTGTTGTATTCTAGTTTTCCTGGTCTCATTGTATAGAATGGAAGACACTACAGAAATTGAGATGATTTTGACTGGTTTTACAATGAAAAGTACCTTGAAATTGAGCTCAAAGTAGCAGAAATGTTCGATATTTGCCAAAGTTCAAAAGTAAACAAATCATGCTAAGCATCCAATACACATCAACTGGTGAGTCTAATATTCTTTCACAAGTGTGCTGATATTATTTATACCATTTCTATACTAATGCAGTAGTCTGCATAACAGTAAATCTTTTATTTTTTGTGAGAATAAAAATTCAAAATGGAAAGCAAAAGAATGTAAGAGGGGCATGGGGACATGACTAATGAACAGAGAAAATGTTATTTTAGTGCCAGGAATATTTTTCTTGTTTATTCTGGACCCTGTTTGGAAAGTGGCATCTTTTGAAATTTGTGTGAAATTGGCAAAATTGCTAAATTCTGAGCACTATATTGGATAGTTGAAATCGGTAAATGGGTGGTGTCTTGTACTCATTCAATAGACAAAATGGAGTTCTAGTGAAATAGTTATGATTTTTGTCGACTAGTACATTGGAATTGGCCGAAAATAGGGCTCAAAGTGGGCAAAATCACCGATACGTAAACATCATCGAGACCGCTAACTTCGTGAGAGCATAATTCTGTACGTTTTTCATCAGATTTCATAATTTTGGTGTCATTGTGATTGGGAAAAGATTATCTATCTTTTCATGAGAATTTTTTTTTTTTTTTTGAAATTTGGGGGACCCTGGGAACAAGTCTCTGAGAGGGCCTGTGGACCCTGAAAGGGTTAAGGTAAAAAAAAATTTTGTTTTTGATACTTCTGGGTATCTGGAACGAATTAATTGGATTTACATTATTTCTTATGGGGAAAATGGATTTGCAAATTGTCAATTTCAATAATAGTCACACTCTCTGGACCAAATTAATTACAAAAAACAAGGGTCCACTGTATGTATATACAGTGGAACCTCAAAAATCGTAGGTATCACATATCGAACATTTCGAAAATAGGACCATTTTTTCAGACAAACTGTGTCCCTATTATCGAACGCGCCCCTATTTTCGGACCACCGGGTACAGGACCTGTCTGCCACCCGCTCTGTCCGCGTCCCCGCGCAGGCACCGTGAGCAGTCTAGCTTTGTTTATGCTTGAGTGAACACTAACCTGCGCTCTCATTCACGCATTTTACAATTATTTTGTTGTGTTTAGTGCTTGTGGGACTGTGAAATAAGCTGCCATGGGCCCAAAGAAACTTGCTAGTGGTACCCCTGTGGTAAAGAAAGTGAGAAACACCATAGATGTGAAGAAGGAAATAATACAGAAGTATGAGAGTGGTGTGAGACTTGTTGAGCTTGCCAGGATGAATGGGAAAAACAAGTCGACCATCGGTTCTATCCTGCCAAAGAAAGAACAAATCAAGGAAGCTGATGTTGCGAAATGTGTTAATATAGGGAGTGGATGAGGTGCCTTCTTCAAAGATTAAGGAGTTTTTGTGCCAAGTGGAATGATGTCCAAATATTTGTGGAGAAGTACCACCCTGAACAAGCTGAAACAAGCCATCTTTGCAACAAGTTCAGTGACAGAACCATGTCCCATTTTAGGGAAATGTTAAAGAGACGCCAGAAACAGAGGACTGTGGAGAGTTATTTTGTGAGACAGGGGTCCAGTGACTCTCAAGCTGGTCCTAGTGGCATTTAAAAAACAGAGAAGGGAAGTAACCCCAGAGAGGGCTTTACCTGAAGTCTTCATGGAGGGGGATTCTCCTTCCGAACACTAACCCTGACTCTCTCTCTCTCCTCCCTATCTTCCAGATGCCATCGCCAATCTTCAATAAAGGTAAGTAAAAATGTTATTTTATATGTATTACTATACATAATTAAAAACTATAGTATTTGTTGTATGTAAAACTGTAATTAATCTCTATAAAATGTATTTTTTGTGTGAATATTTTTGGGTTTCTGGAACGGATTAATTGTATTTCCATTATTTCTTATGGGAAATATTGCTTTGAATTTCAGACTTTTCGAATTTAGAACTAGCTCCAGGAACGGATTAAGTTCGATTTTTGAGGTTCCACTGTATATATTTTTCTTATTTATAAATAAAAATTGTGTGAATAAAAAATCAAAATGGAATTCATATGTAAAGCCTGGGAACATAACTAATGAACAGAGGAAATTTTATTTTAGTGCCAGGAATACCTACATTGTTTATTCTGGACCTATTTTGAAATTGGAATATTTTGAAATTCGTGTGAAATTATACAAATTACCAATTTCTGATCACTTTATTGGGTAATGGAAATAGTTGATTGGGTGGTTTCTTGTACTCAGTTGCTAAAATGGAAGATATACTAGTGAAATAGCTAATAATTTGGTCAACTGGAACAATGTAATTGGCATTAAATAGGACTCAAAATGAGCAAAATCTCTGATTCTTAAATATCACTGACGCTGCAAAATTCACGATAGCATAATTTCATCAGTTTTCCATCAGATTTTGTACTTTTTATTTTATTACCTTCAGAAAAAGATTCTCTACCATTTCATAAGAGAAATTAACAAATTTTTTTTTGAAAATTCTTGGACTCTTTTTGACAAGTTTCAGACTGAGAGTGTGGACCTCTGAAATGGTTAATTGAAAACTTATCTAATTTATGTCGATTCTCTCCCTGCTTACAGAGAACGTATACAGACCAGCTCCTGAAGCATCCATTTATTCGTGATCAGCCTACAGAGCGACAAGTTCGAATTCAACTAAAAGATCACATAGACAGATGCAAAAAGCATAAACAAAAAGGTAGCGATTTTGTTTTTTATAAAGTATTCCAGTGAAAGGTTACTATGACTTTGGATTCAATGAATTAATTAATTCCTGTAAAAATGTAATATTTATTACAAATGTATTCAGGGATTTGAGGAAGTGGACTTGTCAGCATATGGGTCTATGAAAGACTAGGTGAATCATAGAATTGGTGATGGGAGAAAAAAGGTGAGTTGTGCACTGAGGAGTCTATGGAGACAAAGAACGTTATCCATGGAAGCAAAGAGAGGAATATATGAAAATGTAGTTATACCAATGCTCTTATATGGGAGTGAAGCATGGGTGGTGAATGTTGCAACAAGGAGAAGGCTGGAGGCATTGGAGATGTGTCTGAGAGCAATGTGTAGTGTGAATATTGTGCAGAGAATCCGTAGTTTGGAAATTAGGAGGAGGTGTGCGGTTACTAAAAGTATTACTCAGAGGGCTGATGAAGGGTTGTTGAAGTGGTTCGGACATTTAGAGAGAATGGAATGAAATAGACTGACTTAGCATATAAATCTGTAGTGCAAGGAACACAGGGTAGGGGTCGATCTAGGAAAGGTTGGAGGGAGGGAGTATAGGAAGCTTTGTGTGCGAGATGCTTGGACTTCCAGCAAGCGTGCTTAAACATGTTGGATAGGAGCGAGTGGAGACAAATGGTTTTTATGACTTGACATGCTGTTGGAGTGTGAGGAAAGTAACATTAATGAAGGGATTTAGGGAGCTGGACTTAATTCCTGGAGGTGGTATGTACAGTGCCTGCACTCTGATGGAGGGGTGTTGATATGTTGCAGTTTTTAAACCTTAGTGTAGGTGTGCTTCTGGTAAGACAATGATGGAGTGAATGACGATGATTTTTTTTTTTTTTTTTTTTTTTTTTTTTTTTTTTTTTTTTTTTTTTTTTTTTTTTTTTTTTTTTTTTTTTATATATACCCTGCCTTGGTGGGAAACGGCCAGTTTCGCTTATATTTTTACCCTGCAGAAAGTACACAAGTGCTCAGATTGTTTCTGCTGGTATATCTGGTGGCATGAAGTGCACTACTTTTTTGTTACCTTTTCCTCACCATATTATGAATACTGTTTTCCTGTTATGCCTTTTTACTCAATTTTTTCAACACTTGACCATCTCTCATAGAGGTAGTGACTTGCCAAAGAAGAAAACACTTTCACTGTCACTCATTCAATCACTGTTTTCCTAGAATGTCTCTAACATCACAGTTCAGATGACCCTCCAAACATCAACATCCCCATCCCTCCTCAGAGTGCAGGCAGTATACCTCCCACCTTCAGAACTAAAGCTTCCCTGAATCACTTCATAAATGTTACCTTCGTCCCACCCCAACAGCACATCATTTCATATAAACCACACTTCATCTAATATCGAAACTCAAAATGCTCTGCATGATATTCACACTCCACATTTCCTTCAAATATATATCTACTGCCTCTTGGCTCTTCCTCACTGTAACATTCAAAACCCATGTTCCTTGTCCATACATCAATGCTGATACAACTATTCTCTTGTGCATTCCTCTTATTGCCTCCATGGATAATTTCTTTGTCTCCACAGATGCCTTGGTCGACCACCACCTGTTCCCTTTCATCAGTTCTAGGTTTTACCATCTGTCATAGAACCATCTGCCATCAAGTCTGCTCCCAAATATCTGAACACGTTGACTTCCTCCATACTCCCTCCAATCTAATATTCAGTTTCTCATTGCTTATATTTTTAGATAGTCTCATAACTTTGATCTTTCCTATGTTTACATTTAAGTTTCTTTTTTTTTAAGTACCTGTCCAAATTCATTTACCAACCTGGCTCTGGTGGCCTGGTGTTTAACGCTCTCGCTTCACACGGTGAGGGCCTGGGTTCGATTCCCAGCCAGAGTAGAAACATTGGACGTGTTTCTTTCCACCTGTTGTCTATGTTCCCCATCAGTAAAATGGGTACCTGGGTGTTAGTCGACTGGTGTGGGTCGCATCCTGGGACACTGACCTAAGGAGGCCTGGTCACAGACCGGGCCGCGGGGGCGTTGACCCCCGGAACTCTCTCCAGATAAACTCCAGAAACCTTTGCAGCTTCTCTCCCAAATCTCCCAAAAGAACCATGTCATCAGCAAAGTGCAACTGTGACAACTCCCACCTTGCACTGGATTCACTATCTTTCATTCCCACACCTTTCTCTTAACACCCTACTGTTCACTTCTTTTACAACCCCATCTATAAATATATTAAACATCCATGGTGACATCACATATCCCTGCTTTTCCATGTTTTATGCCTTTGTGTATTGATATATTTTCTTCACTGTCTCACTACATATAGAGGCATGCCTAATTCTTCCCATCTTATTATTGTTTTTTGCTGCAAACCCTTGATTATTGTTTCACTGGTGTAACAGATGAATCCTTTCAGAGCTTGTTTGTTGGGCACACTCATTACTGAATTGAGGGGACTTCATTTCAGTTTTTATATGAGATACCTCATAGCGTGTCTTCCCACCACAAAGTTGGTCGTTTTCTGCCCTTTTAGTTACTCTAATTCTTATTATAATTATTTAACTCGGATTGTGACTAGGCTATGGTCATATTGAGTTGTTATATATTGTACTGTATTGAATTTAGTTTGTTTAGGTGCTATTCTGTAATACTACATAATTACCAGTTTAACTTACTATCAATTTCTCTTAAATCTCATTTATAGCAGATAGACAAGAAACATTCAGCTATAGTGGGTCAGACAATGAAGAAGAAGAAACAACACAACCTGGTGAACCCTCTTCTATTATCCAGGCACCTGCTGGCGATACACTTAGACGGAATTTCATGCAAATTCAGGTTTGTATTCAGATTTTTTATCTAATTAACTATTTCTGATTATAGGAATAGAATTCATCACTAAAATGATCTTGATTTGTGATTTTGCCTCTTGGTATGATTTTTATATTCCTCAGTCATGTAGGTCTCGTAAAGTGTGGAGCATTGATGGCATAGTTTACATACTCTGGGATCATGGTTTTATTACATAGAAGCTTGTAGAGCAGTCGTGAACAGATTATTGGCTCATAAGTAGGAATACTTCAGGGTAAAAAAACTGAATCTTGTCATGGTGATCAGGGGTTCCTGTTCCCTCATTTGAATGACCTTACTGGCCCAGCCTTCTTTGATTATTTTGCTCAGGAAATGGAGAAAATTTATTCAAACTTGAATTCAGTTTAAGCATGTGCAGAGTTCTCCATGACTGTTCCAGCTTGCAGTGTCCTTCAGTTAACTTTTCTTAGTTCCTTTAGTTGGTGGGGAGGGAGTGCTGCATTATATTACAGGTTATAATTAGACCTATTGTGCACTTAATTCTATAAATGTTTCAAAGATCTTGCCCCAAATGAAAGTGCTGTGTTGATTAATTGTTGTTTTCAAAGCAGATGTTTTCCAGTCAATGAAGGGAGCCTTGGTTTTTCCCCTTCTTAAGAATCATGTCTTTCATTCAGGAAAAAAATATCAAACTATTGTCATGTTTCAAATCATGCTTTCCTTTCTAAATTGATTGAATATGTTATTCTTGATCAGTTTCCTTTTCTGGAGTGGCATAATATTTACCATGTGTTTATTCTGTATACAGACCTTTTCATTCAGCTGATGCAGTTTTATGCACTATTTATAATAACCTTTTACCAAACACTTGTTTAGGATGAGAGTAAGACACATGTGCAACATCTGGGTATCTTTATTGTAGACGTTTCGCCATCCAGTGGCTTTATCAATACAAATTCCAGGACATAACTTGAAGACAGTAGAACTATGTACAGAAGATGAGGTAATCAGTCCCTCAACCTAGGAGTAGGTGCGAACAGCACCATAGTCGTGGAGATTCTGAAGCAGAAGAAAGAATCCTGGCGCTTATATAGTAACGTCAGGTGAAGCAGACGAGGGCAAATTCACTGGTGGGCGGGATTCCCCAGTGGAAGTAGGTCCTTCCCAAAGAGATGGGTTAGTTGTAGTAGATGTCGTAGTTGTGAAGGTTATGTACATGTCCTCAGAATTAAGATTCCATGATGTTGCAGTGTCTGACAAGTTGTGTACGAATGGTATATAATACCGACAAGATGAGAGTAAGACACATGTGCAACATCTGGGTATCTTTATTGTAGACGTTTCGCCATCCAGTGGCTTTATCAATACAAATTCCAGGACATAACTTGAAGACAGTAGAACTATGTACAGAAGATGAGGTAATCAGTCCCTCAACCTAGGAGTAGGTGCGAACAGCACCATAGTCGTGGAGATTCTGAAGCAGAAGAAAGAATCCTGGCGCTTATATAGTAACGTCAGGTGAAGCAGACGAGGGCAAATTCACTGGTGGGCGGGATTCCCCAGTGGAAGTAGGTCCTTCCCAAAGAGATGGGTTAGTTGTAGTAGATGTCGTAGTTGTGAAGGTTATGTACATGTCCTCAGAATTAAGATTCCATGATGTTGCAGTGTCTGAGGACATGTACATAACCTTCACAACTACGACATCTACTACAACTAACCCATCTCTTTGGGAAGGACCTACTTCCACTGGGGAATCCCGCCCACCAGTGAATTTGCCCTCGTCTGCTTCACCTGACGTTACTATATAAGCGCCAGGATTCTTTCTTCTGCTTCAGAATCTCCACGACTATGGTGCTGTTCGCACCTACTCCTAGGTTGAGGGACTGATTACCTCATCTTCTGTACATAGTTCTACTGTCTTCAAGTTATGTCCTGGAATTTGTATTGATAAAGCCACTGGATGGCGAAACGTCTACAATAAAGATACCCAGATGTTGCACATGTGTCTTACTCTCATCTTGTCGGTATTATATACCATTCGTACACAACTTGTCAGACACTGCAACATCATGGAATCTTAATTCTGAGGACATGTACATAACCTTCACAACTACGACATCTACTACAACTAACCCATCTCTTTGGGAAGGACCTACTTCCACTGGGGAATCCCGCCCACCAGTGAATTTGCCCTCGTCTGCTTCACCTGACGTTACTATATAAGCGCCAGGATTCTTTCTTCTGCTTCAGAATCTCCACGACTATGGTGCTGTTCGCACCTACTCCTAGGTTGAGGGACTGATTACCTCATCTTCTGTACATAGTTCTACTGTCTTCAAGTTATGTCCTGGAATTTGTATTGATAAAGCCACTGGATGGCGAAATGTCTACAATAAAGATACCCAGATGTTGCACATGTGTCTTACTCTCATCTTGTCGGTATTATATACCATTCGTACACAACTTGTCAGACACTGCAACATCATGGAATCTTAATTCTGAGGACATGTACATAACCTTCACAACTACGACATCTACTACAACTAACCCATCTCTTTGGGAAGGACCTACTTCCACTGGGGAATCCTGCCCACCAGTGAATTTGCCCTCGTCTGCTTCACCTGACGTTACTATATAAGCGCCAGGATTCTTTCTTCTGCTTCAGAATCTCCACGACTATGGTGCTGTTCGCACCTACTCCTAGGTTGAGGGACTGATTACCTCATCTTCTGTACATAGTTCTACTGTCTTCAAGTTATGTCCTGGAATTTGTATTGATAAAGCCACTGGATGGCGAAACGTCTACAATAAAGATACCCAGATGTTGCACATGTGTCTTACTCTCATCTTGTCGGTATTATATACCATTCGTACACAACTTGTTTAGGATGTTCACCAGAGTTGTAATATATTTATAGATAGGGTTGTAAGAGAAGTGAATGCAGGGGCATTGGTGAGAAGTGTGGGATTGGATGATAAAGAATCTAACAAAGTGGGAATTGACACAGTTGCTTTTTGCTGATGACACTGTGCTTTAAGGAGATTCTGAAGAGAAGTTGCAGAGGTTGGTGGATGAATTTGGGAGGGTATGGAAAAGAAGGAAATTAAATGTGAATGAGGGTAACAAAAATTTAGGTAATGAGGGTCACGAAAAATTTAGGTAATGAAAGATTGGATATCGGGAGTATGGAGGAAGTGAATGTGATTAGATATTTGGGAGTGGATTTGTCAGCTGATGGGTCTATGAAAGATGAAGTGAACCATAGAATTGACAAGGGGAAAAAGGTGAGTGGTGCACTGAGGAGTCTATGGAGACAAAGAACATTATCAGTTGAAGCAAAAAGGGAATGTATGAGAGTATAGTGGTAACAATGCTTTTATATGGGTGTGAAGTGTGGGTTGTGAATGTTGCAGCACGGAGGAAGCAGGAGGCAGTGGAGATGTTGTGTCTGAGGGCAATGTGGGGTGTGAATATTATGCAGAGAATTCGTAGCTTGGAGATTAGGAGGTGCAGGGTTACTAACAATATTATCTAGAGGGTTGAAGAGGGGTTGTTGATGTGGTTCAGACATTTAAAGAGGATGGAACAAAATAGGATGACTTGGAGGGCATTTAAATCTGTAAGTGGAGGGAAGGTGGAGTAGGGGTCGTCCTAGGAAAGATTAGAGGGAGGGGCTAGAGGAGGTTTTGTGTTCGAAAAGCTTAGACCTCCAGGAAGCATGTGTGAGCATGTTAGATAGGAGTGAATGGAAGCAAGTGATTTTTGTGACTTGACATGCTGTTGGAGTGCGAGCAAGGTAACGTGTATGAAGTGATTCAGAGAGACTGGTTAGCCAGTATTTTCATTATGTTCAATAAATCTCTTCCTTATATTTTTTCAGCACTTTGCACATTACACTCTCTAACCTTTAACCCTTTGACTGTCGCGGCCGTATATATACGTCTTACGAGGTACCGTGTTTGACGTATATATACTCATAAATTCTAGCGGCTTCAAATCAAGCAGGAGAAAGCTGGTAGGCCCACATGTGAGAGAATGGGTCTGTGTGGTCAGTGTGCGCCATATAAAAAAAATCCTGGAGCACGCAGTGCATAATGAGAAAAAAAAAATGACCTTTTTTTTTTAATTAAAATGCCGACTTTGTGGTCTATTTTCGTATAGTATTTATGGTTGTATTCTCGTTTTTTGGTCTCATTTGATAGAATGAAAAACATGTTACAGAAATAGAGGTGATTTTGATCGATTTTACTATAAAAAGAACCTAGAAATGGAGCTCAAAGTAGGGGAAATGTTCAAAAGTAAACAAATGATGCCATTGTCCAATAAATGTCCAACTAGCCATTCTAATATGCAGTCATGAATGGGTTGATGTTATTTATACAATTATTACAGTATTGCAGTAGTCTGCATAATAGTAAGTCTTCTATTTTTTGTTTGAATAAAAATTCAAAATAGAAAGCAAGAGTAATATCAGAGGGGCCTGGAAACATGACTGATGAACAAAGAAAATGTTATTTTAGAGCCAGGAATGTCTGCATTGTTCATTCTGGATCCTATTTTGAAATTGTCATATTTTTTAGTTTTTGTGAAATTGGCCAAATTGCAAATTTCTGACCACTTTATTGGGTATTTGAAATCGGTAAATGGGCAGTTTCTTGTACTCAATCGATAGAAAAAATGGAGTTCTAAAGAAATAGCTATGAGTTTGGGTGACTGGAACAACGGAATTAGCCGAAAATAGGGCTCAAAGTGGGCGAAATTGCCGATTTGTAAACAGCGCCGAGGTCGCTAACTTCGCGAGAGCATAATTCCGTCAGTTTTCCATCAAATTTCGTTTTTTTGGGTGTCATTACAATTGGGAAAAGATTCTCTATCATTTCATAAGAAAAAATAATTTTTTTTTTTTTTTAAATTTTGTGACACCAGGAGACACCTCAGGATTGAGGGTTGCGATAGTCAAGGGGTTAAACTGTGGGATACCTGGAAAAAAATTAAATCCGGTGTGGGAAGATTTTGAAAAAACAAA